GCGGGCACCGTGCTGCAGGCCTGGCAGCGGCGCTTCGTGCAGGTCAGCGTGGAGAAGGGCAGGGCGGTGCCCTGAGGCCGCGCCTCCTCCTGCCCCTCAGACCCACCCTGTGTCTCCAGCTGGCCCAGGAGGCCCTGCCCGAGAACGCGTCCCAGCAGATCCAGGCCTTCTCCTCCGCCACCCTGGATGACATCCTGCAGGCCTTCTCCGAAGTCAGCGCTGCCCGCGTGGCCGGAGGCTATCTGCTCATGGTGGGTCCCGCCCCTGGCACCTTGCCCCCCTCCACCCGGTGCCTGCCCCGGGAACCCGTCCCAGACCGTCCTCTCTCCCCGCAGCTGGCCTACGCCTGTGTGACTATGCTGCGGTGGGACTGTGCCCAGTCCCAGGGTGCCGTGGGCCTCGCCGGGGTGCTGCTGGTGGCCCTGGCAGTGGCCTCAGGCCTCGGGCTCTGCGCCCTGCTCGGCATCGCCTTCAATGCTGCCACCACCCAGGTACAGCGGGGGGCAGGGCAGACGTGGGTGCCCACGGCTCAGGCTCCCCGGTTCCTCCAGCTGCCCCCTGTGCCCCTCTAGGTGCTGCCCTTCTTGGCACTGGGCATCGGCGTGGATGACATATTCGTGCTGGCACACGCCTTCGCAGAGGCCCCACCTGGCACCCCTCTGCAGGTGCGCTTCCCTCTGCAGCCTGGGCTTGTCTGAGTTCAGCCCGGGGGTTAAGAGCCTCTTGGTTTGGGTGGCCTTGGGCCGGTAATTTACCTCTTTGCTCAGCTCCCTCATCTGTCAGTGGATGTAATAACTGTGCTTGTATCATAAAGGTGGATGGGCGGATCGGTGAGGTAATTCGAGTCGAGTGCTTGGAACAGTGTGTGGGCCACACGTGGGCGCGGGAACTGTGTGCTGTGTGGTCATTGTCCCTCCTCGGCCGTCCACGTCCCCACGCCTCCCCTTCACTGCTCCCCGATGACTCAGGCCCCTCCCCTGTCCTGGCAGGAGCGCATGGGCGAGTGTCTGCTCCGCACGGGCCCCAGCGTCGCGCTCACGTCCATCAACAACATGGCAGCCTTCTTCATGGCCGCCCTGGTTCCCATCCCCGCGCTGCGGGCCTTCTCCTTGCAGGTGAGGCTTCAGGAAGCGGGCCGGGCGGGTGGGCGCGGGGCGGGCCTGCTTCATCCGGCCTCTGCGCCCTCCCTGTCCGTCCCCAGGCGGCCGTCGTGGTTGGCTGCAACTTCGCAGCCGTGATGCTCGTCTTCCCCGCGGTCCTCAGCCTGGACCTGCACCGGCGCCACTGCCAGCGCCTCGATGTGCTCTGCTGCTTCTCCAGGTGCTGCCCCGGCACCCCCTCCATCCCACCAGGCCGTCCTCCCTTGGCACCCCCATCCTGTCCCCTCACTGGCATTGCCCGGCACAGACCTGTCACCTGTCTCTCTGCCTTTCAGCCCCTGTTCTGCTCGGGTGATTCAGATCCTGCCCCAGGAGCTGGCGGACAGGACAGTACCCGTGGGCATTGCCCACCTGACGGCCACCGTTCACGCCTTCGCCCACTGTGACGCCAGCAGCCAGCATGTGATCACCAGCCTGCCTCCCCAAGCCCACCTGGTGCCTCCACCTTCTGACCCACTGAGCTCTGAGCTGTTCAGCCCGGGAGGGTCCACTCGGGACCTTCTGGGCCAGGAGGAGGGGACAAGGCAGAAGGCAGCCTACAAGTCTCTGCCCTGTGCCCGCTGGACTCTTGCCCATTTTGCCCGCCATCAGTTTGCACCCTTGCTGCTCCAGTCACGCGCCAAGGTAAGAGTCCAAGCCCAGAGGAGTGGGGGTGGACGGGGGCAGGCACTTAGGTGTCTCTGGGCCCCAAGAAGGGCAGGGGCAGAGCCCACCACCCGCTGGCTGGGGGTGTCCCTGGGCCTCCATCGGGGCTGTCGTCTCCCACAGGCCGTGGTGCTGGTCCTCTTTGGGGCTCTTCTGGGCCTGAGCCTCTATGGAGCGACCTGGGTGCAGGACGGGCTGGCCCTGACCGACGTGGTGCCGCGGGGCACCAAGGAGCATGCCTTCCTGAGCGCCCAGCTCAGGTACTTCTCCCTGTACGAGGTGGCCCTGGTGACACAGGGTGGCTTTGACTACGCCCACGCCCAACGCGCCCTCTTTGATCTGCACCAGCGCTTCAGTTCCCTCAAGGCCGTGCTGCCGCCACCTGCCACTCAGGCGCCCCGCACCTGGCTGCACTATTACCGCAACTGGCTGCAGGGTGAGGCGAGGGGACTGCGGGAGGCTGCTGCCGGCAGAACCCCGGCCCCGGGCTGACTGCACCCTCCCTGTCCTCCCCAGGAATCCAGGCTGCGTTTGACCAGGACTGGGCTTCTGGGCGCATTACCCGCCACTCCTACCGCAATGGCTCTGAGGATGGGGCCCTGGCCTACAAACTGCTCATCCAGACCGGGGATGCCCGGGAGCCTCTGGATTTCAGCCAGGTGGGGAGAGGGCTGGACGGCTCAGGGGGCACAGGGGACCCGGCCTCACGGGCCCAGGCCTTCAGCCCTCCCTGCCTCCACAGCTGACCACGAGGAAGCTGGTGGACACGGAGGGGCTGGTTCCACCCGAGCTCTTCTACGTGGGGCTGACCGTGTGGGTGAGCAGTGACCCCCTGGGCCTGGCGGCCTCGCAGGCCAACTTCTACCCCCCACCCCCGGAGTGGCTGCACGACAAGTACGACACCACCGGGGAGAACCTGCGCAGTGAGTCCCAAGGGGAGGGGGAGGGGGGCAGAAGAGCCTCGGCCTGGGCCACACAGGCCCTACCCGAAGGCCCTGCCCACTGCTCCCCCTGCTCACCGGCCACCCCTCCTCTCCTTGCCGCCCCCTCCCCTCCACAGTCCCGGCAGCCCAGCCCCTGGAGTTTGCCCAGTTCCCCTTCCTACTGCGCGGCCTCCAGAAGACAGAGGACTTTGTGGAGGCCATCGAGGGGGCCCGGGCAGCCTGCGCCGAGGCAGGCCAGGCCGGGGTGCGTGCCTACCCCAGCGGCTCCCCCTTCCTCTTCTGGGAGCAGTACCTGGGCCTGCGGCGCTGCTTCCTGCTGGCGGTCTGCATCCTGCTGGTGTGCACTTTCCTCGTCTGTGCCCTGCTGCTGCTCAACCCCTGGACAGCCGGCCTCATAGTGAGTCTCTGCAGGGCTGGGGCTGAGAGACCCAGGGCTCCCCACCCTCTCCTGCCCATCCCACCACCCCTCCTCCCAGGAGCCCTGGCTGAGCTCTGCCCTCCCCAGGTGCTGGTCCTGGCAGTGATGACCGTGGAGCTCTTTGGCATCATGGGTTTCCTGGGCATCAAGCTGAGCGCCATCCCCGTGGTGATCCTTGTGGCCTCTGTGGGCATCGGTGTCGAGTTCACCGTCCATGTGGCTCTGGTGAGCAGAGGCACTGGGGGAGGCGTGGGCCAGCTGATTCAGGATGCAGCCGATACTTACCCAGCACCTACCATGTGCTGGGGACGACTTAGGAATTGGGGCTACGGTAGCAGTACAGGCAGGCTTTACCTTCAAGGAGCTTATATTCTAGAGGATAGCGGTAAACAAGTAAGCAAATAAATAAGCAGCCATTGCAGTTGAGAGGAGGGACAAACCCCTGAGCAGAGTGGAAGGAGAGAAAACGGGACCCAATGCTGCTTTTGGTGGCCTCACTGTGAAGCGGGTCAGAGAAATGGATGGAGGCAGATGGCAATGCGGGGCAGGAGGGCTCCTGGCAAGTCAGAGGCCGGAGAACGGAGGCAGGCACCGGCCTGGCAAAGCTTCAAGCTCCCCCACAGGGAGGAGTGGGACGTCGAGGGGCCTCGACCAGCTGGAGGCACCAACACAAACAGCTCCCTTCTCTTTCACTCACAATAGCCCTGTTCCTGTTCTGATCATAAGAGCTATACCCCGGGGCCGGGGGGGCGGGGGGGGCAGAAGGCAGCATGCGGAGAAGTGCAAAGAATAGAAACGCCGCCCTGAGAAGGGACAGCACGGCGGCGTCCACCTCCCAGGCCAGGGAGGCCAGCTGTTTCTGTAAAGGCCCAGGTGGTAAATATTTCAGGCTTGGCGAGTCCTATAGTCTCCATTGCATCTCTGCCATTGTAGCCTTAAAGCAGAGACAGACACTACAGAAGTGAATGGGTGTGGCTGTGTTTAAACAAAGCTTTATTTACAAAAACAGGTGACGGGCTGTAGTTTGCCAGCCTGTTGTGGACAGTGCTCTGTGTCTCACCAGACACATCTGCACAGTGCCACCTAAACGGACTCGTGCACGCGCCTGGACAGCTCCCAGGCGCTCGGCCCATCGGCCTCCTGTGGGTCAGGGCATGGGTGCCCCAGGGGCAGGTGACGCAGCGGGCACCCAGCAGAGCTGGCTGAGGAGCCGCTCCGGACCACTTGTTCCCCCAGGGCTTCCTGACCGCCCAGGGCAGCCGGAACCTGCGGGCTGCCCGGGCCCTCGAGCACACGTTCGCCCCAGTGACCGATGGGGCCGTCTCCACGTTGCTGGGTCTACTCATGCTTGCTGGTTCCAACTTTGACTTCATCGTAAGGTAGAGGGGTGAGTGGGGCAGGGGGCAGGGCTGCCCGTGCTGACCTCGGGGCCTGCCCAGGCTGACCTCCCACCCCACCAGGTACTTCTTCGTGGTGCTGACGGTGCTCACCCTCCTGGGCCTCCTCCATGGGCTCGTGCTGCTGCCTGTGCTGCTGTCCATCCTGGGCCCCCCACCAGAGGTGACCAGGCCCTCCCTCTGCTCCTGGCCCAGGGGACGGAGTGGGACAGGCAGGGGAAGAGTCAGAGCCAGAACAAAGTGCCCTCGGCGGCCAAGAGTCAGGGCTCAGCTCCCAAGGATCCTCCCCACAAGGCGCTACCAACTGAAGGCGGCAGCCTCCCCTTTGCCCGACACCGTGGCCTGCCCCGCCTCTCTCCTGGCTGCTTACAGAACCCACCTTAGCCTCCAGGGTCCAGAACAAGGTGCACGGTTTGTCCAGGCCTTGACACCTGTCCCTTGGCAGGTGTCATATCCTGCTGGAGGCCAACAAGGACCCAGCTTCCCAACAGCCATGGCGATGCACCAGGCAGGTGCTGAGGGGGTCGGGGCTCCAGCCCTGCGCTCACGGGCCGGTGTCTCTCCCCAGGTGGTGCAGATGTACAAGGAGAGCCCCGAGGCCCTGAGGCCCCCAGCTCCACGAGTAGGAGGGCTCAGGTGGGGGTTGTCCCCCACCCTGCCCCAGAGCTTCGCCAGAGTGACTACCTCCATGACCGTGGCCCTCCACCCGCCCCCACTGCCCGGTGCCTACATCCACCCAGCCTCTGATGAGCCTCCTTGGTCCCCTGCTGCCACACCGGCTGCCAACAGCTCCAGCAGCCTCACTTCTAGGGGACCATGTCCAGCCCCGGAGTGAAAGCGCAGCTGAAGCATGGAGGCCCTGCTTGGGCCACGTGAAGTCACTGGAAAGCAGTGGGTGGTGACTGAGTGCAGGGCGGACTCCTGGAGAGCTCTGCTGCTGCTGCCTGCCTGCCTGCACCCCCTCCCCTGACTCAGCCATCACAGATCTCCCTGACGTCTGCACAGAACCAGCACCTAGGCTGTGAGCAGCCTCCCACACTGGGTCCCGCGTGCCTGTCCCTGTGTCCGGGTAGGAGTAAAACCAGCACCCCACACTGCTGCCCCGGCCCACCAAGCCTGAGGGACCCTCTAGCACCCTTTGCCGGTCCTGGCCCCCACTGCCTGGTGACTCCTGGGTAGGCTCTCTGTATCCCTGCCTACCTCCTACCACATAAATTATTTATATGAAGATGTTTATTTTTGTAGTTTGTACAGATGTTAGCTATGCTGAAAGGTTTATTTTTAAAGAGTGAAATATATTCTATATGAACTCATCTCAAATGGCTTTGATGCTTTTCTTTCCGACAGAGTTGGGAGTTTGCAAGTAGAAATGTCAGGACCTAAGGTCGTAGGGCTGCTCTATCCCTGGGTGGGAAAGGCCCAGGTTCTCAGTGTTTGTCACATGGCCGCAGCCTATTTATTCACCCAGGACTGAAGGTGATGTTAAGCAAACATGTCGCTCATGAGCTTGGTAATGGTCTGGGTTGAGTGCTTAGCGTACAACATGATCTAAACGTTGTTGGTGTCAAACGCTGCTGTGTGGCTTTCAGCCACCATAATCCTGCCCTGCACAGCCCAGGCGCCTTGCCCCTTCCTGTTTCAGGAGCAGGCCAGGCATGGATGAGGGCACAGCCGTCAGCAGATGGGACGTGCGATGGGAGATCAGGAAAGTAGCCCATGGAAGAGATGGGGCCTTCAGGGTCTGGGGAGGTATTTCAGTTTTGTGCTCAGACCAACCTCAAGGCAGAGGCCTCTATGGGTTAGCAGTCAGCCTGGCACCCCGGAGGCCAGACATCCAGGGGATCAGTGATCGTGCGAGGAACCAGTGAGGCACTGTATTGAAGGTGTTTGTTCTGTGAAGGTTGAACAGTCCCCTTGCAGAGAGGTATTGCAGACTCTGGCCACACCCCTGGACTAGAGTACTGGGCCTCAGTCCATGGGGGGTGGGTGGGGGGATCTTTTGTTGCCTTTCCCTAACTATTCCAGGGCTCAGTCTTAGCCACCCACTCTCCAGGAACAATCCCACCCTGAGAGCACTGCCTTCTCACACCTCACCTTCCACCCCAAAGGCCAGATAATCATGTTCTGACGAAAAATGAAAAAACTAAGTCTAATGCAGCTGAATCAACACTAAAATACCTAAAAGGACTTACGAGACGTGAGTACAGTAGTTGGCTTGGAAACTAGACTAGGGGGTGTACCCAAGGTGTCCAAGGGATGGAAGTTGGCTGGATTTGGGTCTGGGGGTGTTTGGGTCACTAGGAGCTTTTGGGTGGAGCAGAAGAGCTTACGAGACTGGAACATGCAAAAGCTGTCAGCCCACTGTGCCACTTACCAGCTGAGTGACCTGTGAAAGTTAACACCCAAGCCTCAGTTTCTTCCTCTGTGAAATGGAAAGATTAGCCCTAACTGACTTGGCTCAGTGGCTAGAGCATTGGGCCTCGGACTGAAGGGTCCCAGGTTTGATTCTGATCCAGGGCATGCCCCTTAGTTGTGAGCACTGTGCCCAGTGGGGGGTGTGCAGAAGGCAGCTGCTCTATGTTTCTA